TTTAAAAGGTAAGCTTAAATATTATTGCAATACTTAAATGCAGCAATAAATTTTGAGTTCTTCTGTAGTTTATTGTTGCCTATCACATATGGCAACAGTATGCCTTTCAAAAAGAAATCTCAGAGGACCAGATTGCAATCAAAAGAGCCAAGGCTGCAATGAGGAAAGAAAGTCATGTGCAAATGAAAACCCAGATCAAATGGTAGCCAGGAGGGTTTCTAATGCAAAGGCTTAGGGGCTCTCAAACTCCTGAACAAGCTGAAGGCTCAATCAAGAGCCCTCCACAGGAGCTAGCTTTTAAGCTAGTATATATATGTGTTTGTGTTTGTGTGTGTGTGTGTGTAAGAGAGTGAGTGAGAGTGTGTGTGTAAACACAAACATCAAGGGGATTCTAAAATGTTCTCACTCCAAAACCATTTGACGAAATCTGATCAAAAGATCAATCAAATTTGGACTGCAGTCTCTTGGTTGAGTTGAGAACATTTCCACACCTCTTTTGACATACATTTATCCATGTGGATATAGACATTGATACTCTATGATGAGTGGAAGATCCACACCTTAAGCAATCATCAGGTCATTATGATTATATAATACTTTCCAGTCAAAAAGCTAAAAATTTAATGAAACCACAAAAATCAGCAAAACGTTCAACCACGGAAGCAGATGTAATATGAAATAACATGCAATAATTTTCAATGCTTCTGATAAATGACAGAGATAACAAAATGGATGAAACTACAAACAGTTCTGGGAGCATTGGAAAGAAATACTAATTAGAAAAGTATGGAAACTACCTGGGCAATTTGAATCCTGTCAGAACAAAACAAGGTACAACTTTCTTTACAAGAAGGAATTTCATTTAAAGTAGCTAAATGTTCAGTCTTGACAATAGCTCATCTCTTCCTATAACCTGAAGGCTTATGGCCACCTCATATTGAAACACTGGTTCCCATACGATCAGCAAAGTTAAGCAACACTGAGCCTGGTCAGTACCTAAATGAGTGACCGCTTGGAAATCCCAAGTAATGTAAGATTAAATGTTTGGGTGGTGTAATGGATAATGGCTTGAATATATATATATATATATATATATATATATATATATATATATATATATATATATATTTAGAAATGGACAAAGTCTGACAATTTATTTATTAAAGACATTTTATGTTTAACGTTCTTTTTATAGATACAAGTATTTAAGTAAATGCTCTGTTTATAATAAACAGTATTAAATAACATTTAGGCCAGTAAATGTTATTTAATACTGTTTATTATAAACAGAACATTTACTTAAATACTTGTATCTATAAAAAAGAACGTTAAACATACAAATGTCTTTAATAAATATATATATATATATATATATATATATATAACTGACCACATCCAAATAGTAGCTGTTATGAAGATGAGAAAATTCTTTCAAACCATGGGAAATGGCAAAGATATGAAAAAAAGCCAAATCAAGAAAACATTCAATAAACAAAATTATGAGGGTTAAAAAAAAATATTAACACAAAAGCATTCAAAGCTGCAAGGATTTGGATGAACTTGAACTGGAATGCAAAAAAAGAAATAAAGAGAGAAAAAAAGAAATAAAGAGAGAAAAAAGAGAGAAAAAAGAAAGAAAAAAGGAATAAAGAGAAAATACAAAAAAAAAAAAGAAAAAGAAAGGAAGCTCGGGTGGGGGGAGAGCTAAAAGGATGTATTAAGTTATATGTATAGACACTTCAGATATCAAAAATTTAAAATTGTAAAGTTTAGCCTCCTGACATCAATAAAAGGACACGTCAAGAAAAAGTTCAACAAATGATGAAAAAACAACAAAAAACCAAAATCTGATATTACATTATGAGGGTTTAAAAAAACAAGAGAAAAAAAAGCATTCAAAGTAGCACGAATTTGGATAAACTTGAACTGGAATGAAAACCAAACAAAAAACCCAATAAGGATCTATGTTAGACATATCAGATATATCAGAAATTTAAAATTCTAATTTAATATTTAGCACACCTACATCATCAAAAATTCTCTTGATAGTATACTTATGACCAACATTTTTGTTTATATTTTTATCCCCGCCTTGACAATATATATTTTAGAAACTTCATTCAACAGCTGACAAGAAAGACGCAAATGAAAAATATTTTCAAAATAAAATCGTACATTGAGGGATTAAACAGGGATTTGGATTTACTCAGAGAATAATTTCCATATGGAACCCACTAACCAACAACAACATTCCTCAAAAGAGTGAATCTCATTTTTTTGTTTATTCTTTGTCTTGTTGAAAACGGACACAGACTTGTCTGAAAATTCTGACTTTAAAATCTTTCTCTTTGTGCTTCAATTGAGTCGAAAGGCTAGTATATAATAAATATCAATTTTATTGCCAATATTGTTGGGTTTTATTCCTAAAATTTTCATTAACTGGCCTATGAAAATCTACATATTATGCATGAGAAGCACATGTGGACCATCTTTCAATATATATATATATATATATATATATATATATATATATATATATATATATATATAGAGAGAGAGAGAGAGAGAGAGTGATAGATAATAAATAAAATAAAAACATTATTAGTATGAGGAAGCTGTTTCGAAGGACAAAATGAGGCATATAGAAGGTTTACATTTTATTCAATTACCTCCTAACAACACCACACATATATATATATATATATATATATATATATATATATATATGAGTGTGTGTGTGAATGTGGGAGATTATATATATATATATATATAGCAACCTACTATGGAGATTATATATAGCAACCTACTATGGAGATTATATATATATATATATATAGCAACCTACTATGGAGATTATATATATATATATATATAAAAAGCAAATGGCAACCTACTGTGGATATATATATACATATATATAAAGGATATATCTATGAACTGGTTTTATTGGATTGACGTGAAAATTAAACTAAGTGAAAAGATAAGGAATTCTGCTCAAAGACCTGAAGAAAGCTGGAGAATAGTGGTTGAAATAATAAAGATGAGAAAACTAGTTATTGAATGCACTCTCACCTACAGAGACTTTATAACGAAGTTCTTTTTTTTTTTTTTTTTTTACCTTTTCAATGAACAATTTAGAATTGTACAGCAGAAGTTCTTGGATCTTTAAAACAAAAAAAGGGTGGCAGGAATAAAAACTCATCAAAGAATGGGGAAATCTTAAAAAAAAAAAAAAAGCCTTCATTCCATTTGAGCGCAAAACCAAAGTTTGCATGCTTCTAACCTCTGCCACTCAAGAGAATTCTGTAATTCTTTATCGTCTGCAATGGGTTGAAAACCAAAAGAATTGGCCAAGTCATAATCCTCACTCTCTTGACTATAGTTAATCTCAGTGTTACCAGGTAACACATCATATTCCCCAGAATCTTTTCTTAGTTGCAAAAACACTTTGGAGAAAGGTGGTGTTGGTGATGGGGGAGCGTGTAACGATGTGGAAGAGGTGGTAGTTGTACCAGTAGTAGTAGTTGATATAATAGTTGCTGTTGTAGTAGCAGTAGTAGAGGCAGAAGATGCTTCCATTTCCACATTGGATGATGTGGATGTTCTGATAATACAAGAAAGTAACAGAAATAAGAAGAAAAAGAAAAGAAACAGAAAAACAAGAAAATTCTAATAAGCAAATAGCAATTTCTGTATGTAGTTAATGAGTTCAAAGGATAACAAGTCAGTTTTTATCATATTTTATAAGTATGCTTACAATAATTTTATGAGAAACAGGAATAGCATTTTATTTTATATTTTTATATATATATATATATATATATATATATATATATATATATCTTATATTTTAAATTTTAAAAAATAGTTTCTTTTTGCATTTTCTTTGCTTCTTCCCATCCTCATTACTGAGAGAAGTCATATACACAATTGGTATAATTTTGAATTCAAAATGTTTCTTCTCCTAGACTGGTTGCCAATCACAGCTAGAGAGCCTAGTTTTCACTGCATAGCAAGAGGAAAAAGAGATGGATTCATAACTTTACTTTTACTATATTTGCATTTAAGTGAACATAATGAATTTGTGTATTGTGGCGTAATGGATATTGGCTCGGAGTGAGAACTTGGAGAGCCAGGTTCAAATTACAATCAAGTTCATTAGATTCACTTATGCACAAATACCCTTAGGAAAGGTATGAATCCATCTCTTCTCCCCCCAGCTATGTGTTGAATAGCAAGGCATACTGGGTTCTTTAGCCTTGGCTGGCAACCAGTTTACTGCAGAAAGAAATGGCAACCTACTGTGGGAAAACATCTGCTTCATCAGTCATGTATCTTTTGATACATGATCACTCAAGTGTGTATCACATATGGCACTTATATTCACTGACAGAATAAAACTCAGTTCTCAGATTTCTCATTCTGAACAGCTATCCACTACACCACCCACACATCTATGTCCATGATTTTCATTAAGGGTAGGGTGTGGTGGTTTGGGGGAATAATTACATCAAATTAGTAAATTGTTGAGGTTCTTTATCAATGATTTTCAAAAAGCAGACATTTGGCTCCCAAGCGTGGAATTTCAAATCTTGGGGAATGGCTGAGTCATATGTACATGTCATAGAATAGTGAAGAAAATTGACAATCCCAAGTCCTTTTCAGACTTTACTTCAATCAAAGGAGGTTGAAATTAATATTAGGCTCAAGTTCCTGGGTGCCAACCCCCAGACAGTATATCTCCTTTGGAAGGGAGCTGGATTTATTGCCCAGTGCCTGAGGCATTCCAAAAAGGGGAAGTGCTGAGGTGTCTTGAGCAATTTTTCCATGGCATTGCAGTTAAACCAACTTTAAACTGACCTTATGTCATATTGTTGCATATCCCCCTCATGGGGGTGGTCTTGCACGATGACATCAATATGTTGTAACTTCTTCTCTTTGTCATCTTTCAGCTGGTGATCACTAGTAGTTTTGGTTTGTAGATAAAAAAATACTTCAACAAAAGGAATTTTAACTCAACTATTTTATTAAACACAGTGATGTGTACATTTCTAACAAGCCAGTGGGGTTGCTCTCCCCCTCCACTGGGGAGCAATTTCCAGAGACAAAAGGAACATGTCTACATTGTCTGATATGCAAGAATCAACTTCGCAAAAAAACTTTCTCTATCATTCCCATACTAGTTCAGTCAATCAAAATCGACTTCCTTTATTTTGTCTTGTATCTGACCCCTAAGGTCAAACTGAGGAAGTCAGAGCAGAAATACACTTCTCTAAAAGATAGTCTGCTAAACTATTATTTAACAATATTTGGTTGCAACATGGATATACTGAAAAATACACCCTATTACTGATTATGGTCATAGTGGCACTACATTTACTGCAGCCATAGCAGTAGTTAATGCATTTAGCACAAGATAGTTTGACAGGATCCTATCACTCATTGGGTTGGTTTTGAATTCAGAATTATTGTTGTTCTCCTATATGGGCTAATATTCAAGGCAAGAGAGCCCAGTCTTCTTTGCTATTAAACAAATTGGAAGAAGATGTATTTGTGATTTTTTCAAAGATGGTAAAATAGACAAAACTGTCAGAAATTGAACTAGGTACACCAATTCTGCTATTCACACTAATAACCATTATGCGCTCAATTATAAGTTAATTACTCCACAAGAATTCAAAATGAGGGAAGAATTGAAGAAATCTGTGATTCAAAGGGGAGGTATATGATCTGCGATTCTGAGAATCACTGCTCTATGTTCAAGTTAACAGAAAAAAAAAGGAAATGGGATTCTTCTGATTTTTCTAAATTGGTAATAATTCTTCTTCATCATATCTTTTAAGACCACCATAAAGAGGAAGAAGTGGTATAGCCACATAACCAGATTGTGAGGCCTATCCTATTAGGAACAGTACAAGGTGGAAGAAAGTGACATCAAAAAAATAGAAATGGTCAAACAACATTTTCAAATGGGCTGGTAAAGTTTTTTGCCCAGTCTCAGGCACTTACCAATGACCAGATGAAAAAAAGGCTTCTTGACTAAGCCACTTGGTAGATTAAGGGACAGGAAAGAAAGAATGAATAATTGCTCAAAAATATTTTTCCATAAATTAAAATTTGCAAAGTGGTTAGTAATTTTGTAAACAAATTGGTAAGTCAAGTTAATATTAAAAAAAAAAAAACAAAACAACTTTTGGCATCATTTTCATGCTGTGTTTTTTTTTAATGCCATATCCTTTCAGATCATAGTTCTCCTCAGGTTCCTTTTCTGTAAATTATCCCAACTTATGAAAAAGATAGTTGGGTAGTGTTCTGTTACCTTCTTCAGTATTTTGAATTAAGATGTCTTTCTTCTAGACTAGCTGCCACACAAGCAAAGAGAGCCCATTCTGCATTACTATTTAACCTATAGCTGGAGACAGAAGAAATAGATTCTTGCCTTTCCCAAGGGTATTAGTACAAAAGTGAATGCAACAGACTGAACTAGAACCGGAACACAACAGCCGGTTCTATCTTTTGCACTGATAATCCTTATGCTACCAGCATGAATAACCCTGGAAAAATTATAAATCCAATTATTATTGCTTTCTCTCTTAATAATAAACAGGAGTCGATTGTAGTTAGGATTATCAATGCAAGCGATCCTTTCCTTAGCTGCATAGTAAGGGCTTCACCATGACTACATACAGTTTTGAATTAAGAGTTTTCTTTCTCCTAGACTGGTTGCCACCCAAGGCTATAAAACTCATAGCTGGGGGTGGGGGGATGGAGAAGAGTTGTATTCATAAATAATCAATTTTAATTATTAATAAAAACTTATTTAACCATATCATTAACATTTAGTATTCTGCATCATTTATAAATATTACTTCCTGTATATGGAATAGTTCTATATATTTGAAATTGCAGTAGCCTTTCTCTCAATTTCGGTCAAGATTTTTTAGGTGTTACTGTGGAAGGATATGGCTACACATACAAGAAATTCAAATTTAACATTGGCAGAATTAACATTTTGCTTGGCAAAAATAATCACCTACAGAGTGCTAAAGGTTAAAAAATGATAGCAATATTTATGTAATTGTACACTTGCCTTGGTTATACTTTCTATATGAGTAAATTGGAAATTTTATAACACCAATTAACTATTGTTATACCTCAGAAAGAATACTGCTTTGAAAACCCATAAAAAAAAACTAACACAATTTATATCATTAAAATAATCTATACAATTAACTCTATTATCATGCAAAAAAAAAGGAAAAAAAAAAAAAAAAAAAAAAAAAATGAAAAGAAAAATTTTCAAAAGAAAACAAAACTTCAAAATATATTCTGGTGAAATAGCCCATTTCCAAAATTCATTTTTTGGCACTTACGTGCCCACAACAACATGGAGTGTCACAAGCACAGTTTTTTCCATGACACCATTTTTTTTTCAAACTACCTTCACTCTTTGGCATATTTTATTGTTTTAAAAAGCAATGATTAGAATTGTAATAAAACCTAAACATATGATGAAAGTGAATTTATACATTTTCTTTTCTTCTTGAGAATTTACAACAAAAATATTTAACACAATTTATTTATTAGATTGCTTATTTACAAGATTAATTTCATATTTACAACATTCTAAAAACTAATACAATGCAATATTTATCGACAATTTATAAAGAAATAAATATGAAAACAAATTTTTATTCATAAATTTCTAAATATTTACTATATTAAAATATGTGATCTATAAGGAAATCCTTATTTACTATTTTATAAAGTTAAAGTTTAGCAATTAGCCCATGTTTTGCCAAAAATGCCATTAAATAATCTAATTGGTAAATAATATAAATAAACAATCTCATGAATAAAGAGTTTATTATTTTTGTTTACAATTCTCAAGAACAAAGAAAATGTATAAATTCACTTTCATATGTTTAAGTTTTATTACAATTCTAATCATTGCTTTTTAAAATGAACATTGCTGAAGAGCTCTCTCTCAGACTCACTAGAAAAAAAATTCACTGTTAATAACTCATTCTCAATTCTCCTACCCCTAGAAATCAAATTGCCCCATATTGGAAACCACAGGCTATGGCTTGGACCTCTACTGAGGCTTGTAAATTCCAGCTAGATAGAAAATTTCTACTGAAATGTGATCACCAGTCTCTGGAATGCTATTTTCGGTTTGAACAACTACTTGAGTATTGACCACTATGAGAAACGACTTGAAAACAAATACAAGGTTAAAATCTTTTGTAAGTAAAAAATATTTATATTTATGAATACAAGGCATAATTTCATCCCTCTAAATAGCAAATTTACCTTGCAATATGTTTTAATAAATACTAAAGATCAAAATGTCGACAGATAACCCTAGTGCATTCATGTTTTTTAAATGGTACTCCACCTGTCCCAAAGTTATGTGGTCAACCTCTAGAAACTAAATAGGCTTTGTTTGCAAATAGTCAAACTGAGTACTAGTAGAATCTGATTACAATAATCATATCACATGTTACAATAGCAGATGTAAAATGGTCAATAATTGACTATAATTTTTTTTTCACTTAGTGAAATATAAATAATTATAAACAGTATTAACTGAATATACGATGAGAAAAACGTACTTTCATAAATAATTTGGAAGTGGGTGTAAATATTAAACAGAAAACGGAGTGAATTAAAAAAATGTTCAATTTTTAAAATTACGTCCCTTTGATATTTCGGAACCAAGGGAGATAACTTTGCTATACAGCTGATCTTAAGATTTTTTAGTATCATGCAACCAGTAAATGATAATTGTAATATTAGCAGTTTCCTAACAAGGAAACATTCGGCATTCATTGAACGAGCAGATTGTACTTAAATAGCAGCGAGATTTTCCGTCATTATGTCAAATATTAGCCATGTGTTACGTGGAATCAAGGTAAATTACAATAATGTGTGTACTAACAACAAATTTAACAAATCCTTATTGGTTATTTACAGAAAGTGACTGAAGAGAAAGCTCTCATCTCCTAATGAGTGATAACTTGTGTTCACAGAAACTGCTTAAGTGAAGTGAGGTAAGTAGTTGATTAGGTTTTATAAACTGACATATAAACAAAGTTATAAAAAATCACAAAGAAACAAAATAAAGAAAAAAAAAAAAAAATCAAATTATACCAAAATGAAAACCATTGCAAAAGAGAAAGAGAGAAAAAAATGGTTAACTGTTATGCTGTGGCTATATACACAAAAGTCTATGCAGTATTTTATCATCTATTCACAATCATGAACCTCCACAGCATAACGGTTAAATAGTCAGAGAGGAAGTACAGTCAAGTGATGTGACTTGGGTCATCTTTTATATTGCAAAAAGTTCTACAAAACACCAAAAATTATTTTGCTTACATAATATTTGCAACTAGGAATGAATACATTAACATTTGTTATTAAAATATTAAAAATTTTGCTTATAAAAACAACACCATAGCCTTTTATCATTGTCACAAAAATGCACAAATATTAAAATATGCCCAACAAAAATATTTACCAATATTTAATTTGAGGTTAAGTTACCAGCTTTTGAGATTTCAGTAATTTTATTTCTTTTTATAAACAAACTAAAAAATATCTATCAGTTTAGGATAAAATAAAGCTTAAATATAAAATTGCTTGATGCAACCACAAGTTCTGTTTTAATAGTGTTTTCTCTCACACTTCTTGCTTGTGGAACTCTCTTCCAGCTTTTTTCTTTTCCTGTCACCTACGACCTTCAAAAATTTAAATGCAACATCAATTGTCATCTTCTGTCTCCCTGAATCCGGTTCTTTTATTGTCCTTTCTCTGCAGTAACATTTTCTTAGTTTCCTTTACCCTCAAGTAACCTCCAGCATCTTAGTGGCTTTATCACCTTGCTTAGAGTGAAAGGATTAAAAAAAATAAAATAAACCTTTAAAGAAAAAAATCTAAGGAAATTTTACAATTAGATATCTTTTTTTTTTTTTTTTCTATGATTCTATAAAAAGATGAGAATTATTATTTATACTATTTACATATAGACTATTGTCCCCATCTTTAATGTTACCATGTTTTGGCCGTTGTACATTCCAGTCTTCATCAGGTGTATGTCAATCCAAGTAAACTAAAAGGAATTTCAAACTGAACCTGTTATTTAATCTATAGGGTAGATTATTCCATTGCCCATGTCTCATCGAAAATTAGTGGATTAAACATTGGTTTGCGAATTTGGTAAATTTTGATTTTGATTAGTGGCATATCAACACCTCTATGGATTATTTAATGCTGAAAACTAAATATTTTGAACACAATTTTATGGCTTCAACTAAATATATTTTGAACACAACTGTATGACTTCGACTACAGATAAAATGTATTGTTGGTCATTTTGTGATAAAATATTGGTAATTCTACTATAAAATGTATTGCTAGTCATTTTGCTTTAAAATTGTATTGTTGGTCATTTTACTATAAAAATGTATTGCTGGTATTTTTACCATAAAAATGTATTGCTGGTATTTTTACCATAAAAATGTATTGCTGGTATTTTTACCATAAAAATGTATTGCTGGTATTTTTACCATAAAAATGTATTTTTATACTTTCATAGTGTTTTGTTTTTGTTTGTCGGGGATGGTTCACTATTTGCCCATAGCTGGAACTCTGACAGGTGCTACCACCCTGAGTCAGGGTGGACCTGGAAACAACAATTAAGAGGTAGTTCTATGCTCTTCAAAATCTCCAATTTCCTAATCAGAGGCTTTGCTGCCAGATGTAGTTTATCGTCATATCCAGGACTATATTAATTAGGAGAGAGCAGTATTAAAATAAGACTAGATATTCCTTTTGTTGTACAATGTTTCTTTTGATTAAAAGTTTATAATAAACAGGATAGTTTTTTTTTCCATAACTACTAATGCCAAAAAGAGGTTACTACAATAGTTAATAATAACATCTTATAGTATAAGTAAATTTAGACATTTAATCTGCTTGGATTAATCTCAGTCACTTCACTTGACAGTACTCACTAGTAAGAGGAAAAAGAACAAACTCAAATTTATGCCACACTCCAAACCAAACAAATTGATAGTAATAACAAAAAAAAAAAAAAAATAAAGCAGATAAAAGTTTAGGAAAGTGTATGGGGAAGGTTGGTGGGGGATGGGGATTATAAAAGATTAACACACCAATAACAATCGATAAGTAAACAAAAAAAAAAAAAAAATCCAAACAAGTGATCAATAGCAGAAACACCTCAATCCAAGAAAAAAAAAAAAAAAATTCAGCCAGAAACCATCATGCAATTTCTTTTTTCCACTAATTTTCTGTATTTATTTCATCTGATTATTATTTTTTTTTTAAAGATTTCTAACCTCTCTGTAACTTCAGATGTCACAGAAGACTGCTGCTCGGACAAAGCTTGGCTCTGCTGTTCGGACACACTCGATTCAAACTGTTGCGAAATTGGAATCTCCTGTCCAGTAACAATATCCCGATTCTCTTGTGACAACTGCAGATTTCCATCAAAAGACTTTGCTGGTTCGTTCCGTTCTATCTTCTTATAAATATGGCTCTGCTCAGATGGCTTCAATTCATAATCTGGTGGTAGAGGAAAAGCTGCAGGCGGGGTCATCTGATTTTGGTCCATCACCATCAGTTGTGGTGGAGGCTGTGAGCATGCCTGTTGATGCTGTTGTTGGGATGAATAAGACGAAGATGAAAAAGAGGAGGATGATGCTGCATACTGTTCTGTATGCTCCATCTTTGTTTGCTGATTTTTCTGGAACGTCTCAGACTTAGACTCCATGGATTCCGTCTTTGAGTAACTGTGGGATGATGTTGAGTGTTGTTCAGCTACGTCTGGCATGCCCATTGCAGGAGGCATTGGCTGCAAGGGTGTAAAGGCTGATACATGTCCGTCATGCACTGAAAAGCCACTGCCTCTGCCAAGGGTGCTCTCTCTATCTAAAGTAGAACAGGTCGATGAACTTGTTTTGTATTCCGAGGACTGGTAACTGTAGTTGCAATCACTTGAGGCACTAGGAACACCTTGCTTAAGAAGTGGGTCATCCAGGTTGAGGAATACAGGGAAAGGGGGTACAGGAGGGGATGAGCCCCCCAGTGAACGAGTGATTGTTTGAGATGGAGGTGGAGGTGGTGGCCTGGTTTGGAAATAAAATAAGGTAAAAAAAAAAAATAAAATAAAATAATAAAAATAAAATCATTAAAATACTCAAGTCAAAAAAATAAAAATTCATACACATAAAAAAATAAAGGAAACAAAAAAATAAAAAATGAAAATAACATTAATAAACTTTTGGTCAATAGTGACATAACTGGATTTGGTTTTTCAATTACTTCCTAATTATTTTGGTGATTTGAGAAACAAAATGATTTTTGAAATCCATTCCTATTTTTATCCACAAAGAACAGTTAATAAAATAAAGTTATCAAAAATTTGTTGTAATTTGAGTTTTGCGTGTGCATGTGTGTCATCATTTTTATAGGATTTTCATAGGATGTTTTTTTTATTTATTTCTGGCTTGTTTTTTTAATAGGACCTATTTTTTTTTTTTCTCTTTTGTTATTTTCATGACATTTTTTTTCTGTTTTGTTACTTTCATAGGATGTTATTTTTTATTTCTGTTCTATTATTTTCACAATGTATTTTTATTTTTGTTTTGTTACTTTCACTGAAATTTATTTTTTATTTGTTTTGTTATTTTCATAGGTTTTTTTAATTTATTTTGTTATTTTCATAGAGTTTTTTTATTTCTATTTTATTATTTTCATAAAATTTTTATTTCTATTTTATTATTTTCATAGAATTTTTATTTCTATTTTATTATTTTCATAGAATTTTTTATTTCTATTTTATTATTTTCATAGAATTTTTATATTTTTATTTTGTTATTTTTTATAGAATTTTTTATATTTTTATTTTTTTAAAATTTATTTTGTTATTTTTATAGAATTTTTTTTATTTCTATTTTATTATTTTCAAAGGATATTTTCTTTCCATTCTGTTATTCTTGTGGAATTTTTGTAAGATTTTTTTAACAGGATTTTAGAAAGTACAAAATTTTCATTTCAATGTCATCAACATCCTTCAGTAAACCATTCCAAATATCACTAATTATTTACTAATTAACTTAATAGAACTTTAATCACCAACAATTCACCAACCAGGATATGTCATTAACCATTTAAGGATTAGAATATGACTTTATTTTATTTTTTTTAATGGAGAATATCAATTACTTGGCTATTTTTGTTAGTTTTCATAGAATTTTTAGGTGTCAATGCTTTCTAAAAACAATCATCAGCTGTCATATCACATAATGGCCATTTTCATCTAAAACAGAGTTTTCTTAACCAATTTTTTTTGTAAACAAAAAAAGTGAGGTTTTATGCTATCAAATACAGTGTGCGTAATGACATTTGTAATGATATTTGCTTATTGGTATCATCTTAAAAGAAAACAAAAGGGCCTTTAAATATAAAATTAGCAATGACTATAAGATAACCAAGTTCAGTTATTTTAATATTGACCACATCTTTGAACAACAAAGAACATTAAAATAAAGAATAAAAATAACATTTTGCAAGAAAAGATGAAAAATGAATACAAACTTAAAAATCAACAATAATGACAAATAAATAAAAAGAATATAAAAATGTAAAATTCAATAAATAACTCAAAAAAAGAAATTAGAATTTTAGAAAATGTGGAAATGGTGACAAAAACTTTTAGGAGAAGCAAAAAGAGAAACTAAAGGGAAAAAAAGACAAGAAAATGTTTAAAATAAAAATGTAATAAAATAAGTGTAATGAAAATGAAGTATAAAAAGTTTTGACTCAGTTTGATTATAAATAATAAAGTAAAATAAAAATCAAGAAAATGAAATCAATTGTGATAAAAATAAAGCCAAAAAAGAAAAAAAAGGCATAAATTTAAGAAATACTAAATTAAAAAAATATAAACTAACATTTAAAAAAATAAAAAGCACTAAAATAAAAAAAATATGCTTAAAAAAATTAAAAAATTTTTTATTACTATAATTAAAAAATATACTATAATTAAAATAAAAAAAAAATCAAACTAAAAAATAATACAAGTTAAAAAATAAACCAAATAGAAATAAAGAGGTGAAAAACAAACCATAAATAACTAAAAATAAATTAAAAAAAATAAAAAAGAGAAAAGAAAGAGAGTTAGAGAAAGAGAGTTAGAAAGAGAGTGAGAGAGAAAAATTCCTGGGTTATTTCCCTTGTAATATTAATCAAAAATGCATTTCAATTAAACAATTTTTGATCTTCCTCAAGTGAAAATAATGTTATGGTACCATAACTTTTTAGATTAATGCCTTTCATATCTTTCTTGAATCATTAAGTAAATTTTGCATTAAATCATTTGTTATATATATATATATATATATATATATATATATATGTATTAGATATTTAGCTGATATAATAAAAAAAAAAAAATTAAAAGTGTATAGCCATTACAAAAAGTTTAGTTGATTTGAGTGATCCTCTCAGAGTTCAGAATGTATTTTGGGATTTGACAAAGAACTAGAAGGCTTATATAAATTTACTTTAAAATGTTGTAGGGACAGCTCTTTTTATTATGGCAAAAGGAATAATTATCAACACTGACAGAAGAAACAAATTAATCTACAATGAAATTTTAATGCTTAGAGCCCAGTTTTCAGTGAATTTATCCCTTCAAGTCTTCTCCTTCCCCTAATTTACTGCTCCTAAAATGGGAGTGTCTACTCTTGTTACTGCAAGAGGCAGCTTGTTCCTGATCTGGTGAAACTTTTCACCACAGACGACCTTCACCAAACATTTGTTGATATCAGATATCTGTGCCTTCAACTTAAAGATGTGTTATTTCGTGTGTCTTATTTCACCAACTCACTTCATTTCCTCTCGAATTTCTTTGAATCATAATTAGTCAACCTCCAAATACTGCCTGTATTCAGTTGTGGGGACAAAAAAAAAAAAAAAAAAAAAAAGCAAAGGTATGTGCTATAGACACCTTAACCTAGCCAACCAAACAACATATATATCTGATTGATTATTCTTCTATATACCATGTTCCTTCAAGATGTTGGTAATCATGACTCTCCACAATTTCCTGTTCTTTATAGCTCTTAATAAATTATGTCATTTTGTTATTTCTCCTAAACCTTTTTCTGCCTTCCAATTTACACAAGCTTCTTGTTGTTGTTCTATGTGCCATGTTGTTGTAGAGTAGTTTCACAGTGGAGGCTTGTATTTCACTAAGTCAGTCCTAAAATAGGTTCGACATACAAAACGTTAGGAACTTGATATAATAGGTAATGATGCAGAGAAATCTAGTGGTGGTCGCTGATACTTTTAGTATCTGACTAACGGTCGTCCGACATCGACTGACCAACTCTGAGTGACTTAGCGACTGCTACTACTCCTACTTATTATAGGTGGCAGAGTCTATTAACAATAGAATAGGTGTGTTCTACTATAACACATGTCACTTCAGGACACTGGTGATCATAACTCTCCACAATTTCCTGTCCTTTGTAGCTCTTAATAAATTTCATCTTTTTGTTATCTCTCCTAAACCCTGTTCTGCATTCCATTTACACAAGTTTATCATTGTTGTTGTTCTATGTCCCTTCAGGACATTGGCAATCAATCATGACTCCACAATTTCCTGTCCTTTGTAGCTCTTAATAAATTTTGTTATTTTATCTCTCCTAAACCATGATACACCATCCATGTACACAAGTTTCTTCTATATGCTGTGTTCCTTCAAGATGTTGACAATTATGGCTCTCCACAATTTCCTGTCCTTTGTAGCTCTTAACATATGTATTTCTGTTATCTCTCCTAAACCCTGTTCAGCAATACATTAACTCAAGCCCATTAGGTAGGTTAAGTGTTGTTTCCCTCTGTCCATATTGCCTACAATCTATCCTGTGAGTATCAAATTTTCCAAACCCTCTTTCCTCATTATGTGCCCTAGAAATTTCAATTATCTCTTTCTGATGCTAAGTAGAAGTGTCTTTTTTGTTTCCATTTTCTCCAAAACTGTCATTTCTCACATATTTGTGAATATATATATATATATATGTGTGTGTGTGTGTGTGTGTGTGTGTGAATTAATATACTGAATAAAAAAAAAAGGAGGAAATTTACATTTCTACAATCGTATTCACTGGCACTCATTTTAGCGGTGTCAAGAATATTGAAAACACAATTGTCAAGTGGTGACATTGTTTGCATTAAAGAAATAAATTTCTGATTCAGTGTGAGCAAGAATCTGCTTGTACAACTAGAAACCATATTAACTGTTATGATGTATGTCAATATTGTCACTTGAGGAACATGAGAAATTCCAGATCAGAATGTGTTAAGTATTCAACTAAAAGAGCAATAGAAAAAAAAATGAGGGACTTCTGCAGATAAATTAAATGCATAGACTTTGTAACAAATATAAACTTAAAAAAAAAAAAAAAAAAAAAAATGGCACTACTAAAATAAGTCCTCATAAACAAATAGGAAACATTTAGGAGGTAAATAATTTTTGTAGATTCAGTCAGTTATTTGCCATACGTGATACACGCTTAGGCGATCTTGTATCTTTTCAATACATGACTGACAAGGCAGATTTTTTCCTGTAGTAGGTTACCATTTCTTTCTGTGGTAGACCAGCTGCCATCCAAGGCTATAGAACCTGGTCTGTCCTGCTATTTACCCATAGTTGGGGGAAGAAGAAAGGATTCATATCATTTCCCAAGGGTATTAGCACATAAATGAACGTAAAGGATTCAACTGGAATTCAAACTCGGCTCTTTGATTCCTCAATCTGAGCCACTATCCACTACTCCACCATGCCTCCTTTTGTAGATTAGAATTCTTAAAAGCTTCATGAGAGTGCAACACTTGTCAGAATCAAAAAAAATTTGTTATCTATTGAAAAGGGTTTTTCTATTTTTTTTTGTTTTCTAAGGCTTATCAACCCTTTTCAGGTTATTCAAAGCCAGAGATTATTTTCATATTTAAAATTTTTTTTTGACATAATTGTTTAGTGACACAAGTCATACTAATTAACCCATAGGTGGGGGAAAGAAGTCAATTCATACATTTCCCAAGGGTATTTGCATATAAG